AGACCAGTTTATAACCAGGTGTGTCTTGGCTGGAAGCTGCCACTGAACAAACCACTACCTCTCAGCTGACAGATGACATTCTGTGTAGCTCGCTATTCATTCTGCATACAGTGGGACATCACTTTGCTCCCACAGCTTGACTCTCCTTTGATCTGAGAGTCTCTGAAGGGTTGGAAGATCCAGAGTAAATGGAAATACAGCCTTAGTTTAAGGGGTTAAGTATGCATATAGCCACTGAATTAGGGCAAACCCTCAACTGCAGACATAACCCGAGATGATCTAATATAAGCAAAAAAATAAAGACAGAAAAAAGCGTTACCTGGATTGTTAAAAATACCTGTAAATAACTTTTCTGGCTAGTTCCACATCAGATGAAGTCTGACATAAATGCAGTAGATTTTTTAATTCATTTTTGAGAATCATTCCATTTTTCTTTAATTTTTCTTTAATACTTTTAAAATACGGATCTGAAAATAAAACACGTTATAGCAGCAGTCTATAGACAATTTCATTTCCTGTGCTGCGTACTCAGTACCTGAAACATGGAGATTCAATGAAGCAGAAAGTTTGCTTTCTTCATCATGAAAAAGGTATAAAGCTTCTCACAAACAAGCATGCTTAGGTGTCCCCATGAAGTCATGTCAGACTTGGAAAACCAAGACAACACTTACTGTGAACTTAATTTCATTGTGTGTGTTATGGAATATATCAGGTAATACAAAAAATTTAAAGAGGAAGGAAGTTTAGTAAGTGACATTTTCTGCCTTATGTTCTTTTTTTGACAAGCAAGCAAACAAACAAAACTAATCCCACTCAGCATTCAAATGAGCCTAAGAACTTCTACTCAACACTGTTCGTACAGAAGATTTAAATTCCCTCATGATCGATGCAAACACAGAGTCTCATACATAATCTATGTATTTCTATACATAGCCATAAACTTAGAGTTGCTTCCCCACCGCCTCCCCCAAAGCAGGGGTAATCCTCCTGTTGGTAATCTCAAGGCTCTGATTCACACATACACAAGACTAAAATCACATGTACCACCTGGCAGCCCCATTCCTCTAATGGTGCTGCCCCTGGTCTTGGGTGGGGAAGTGAACTTTTTTGTAGAGGTTGCTGGATCATTGCTGTTTACAAGTGAGTAACCTACACAAGAGGTGCAAAGTGAGCACCCCAGAGAACAACATATTAGCTACTGGATGTATATCTGTTGCTACATGCAAATACAAGTCCTTACTCAAGACTGAGATGCAGAGCTGAGTCCTGTGAAGTCAGAAGAATGCATATATGTAAGTATGCATATATAAGGGTTGTGATGTGTTCAAAGGTGCACAGAAACACCTGGAAGCTGAGATGTGTTTGTAAAGAACACATAATAGTTATTATAACTACTGTAGGTAATTGTTTAACTGCTGTAAGTAATAGTATAACTATTATAGTTAATAGTTGCATTATAACTGTAATAAATAATACCTATTATATATTCTGTGTAACAGAACAGTTATTCTGCTTTTTCCATTTCTAAATCAAGTTTACTACTAGCCCTAATTACTTCTTTTCATCTTTCAAGTATTAGACTAAACACTTGGTATAGAAACTGTGCACATATAGACACAAATAGGTGCTTGGCACATTGTTTTCATCAGTCTTCAGAGGCTACTATTTGTACAAAACAAAAAGGTCAACTATGACCTGTAAAGCCAAATATTTGGCTTCTACAAACCTGTTTTAGCAAAAGTGATTGGCCCATAGCAATAAATTCAACGTATCTCAAGTACAGGATGAATAATCCCCAACATGAGTATGTCATCATCACAGCAAAATATAGTAACATTATGACTTGCCACTGCCCAATTTAAATTCTACTTTTAATTAATATAGAAAAACTGTCATCTTGACTTTACCTCCCTCTCTGTCCCAGAAGACTGGTTTATATAAAACTAAATTTAATTATTTGTCTCTTCCTTGCCACACAAAATAAATTAACTATATCCTTTGGGAAAATTGTCAATTTTTATCACTAGAACACCTGCATATGATTAAACAGGTGCAGGAAATGGAGTTTTACATACCTTTTCTTAAATATTAAGGGCTTTTATGGTCATTAAGGAAAGGAATTTGTACATGCTTTAAACAGCATGACCAAATTCCATCAGAAAAAATCCACTGATATTGCTCCTTCGTTAGTTTGGAAAACCTGAATTTGTTTTTCATATTCTGAGTATGCATATGTCAACTGGAATTGGGTGTACAACTGAGAACTTACATTAGGTAAAAGGAAAAAAAAACTAAAAGAATAAGCTAACTAGATTTACAGAGCAGATTAAAAGAGAATTACGGGCATAGGCCTTCTCTGGATAGTTCAGTAGCTATTAGGCTTTGTATTAACTTTCTCTGCTGATGGTGGATTTGAACCAAGATTTGTAGACTGAAACAGTATTTTCTCTTTGACTATCTGACAAGGTCAGAAAAGCAAGGACACAAACATCTCAGGTCTTATGTAAACACCTTGCATACTTGAAAGCTTCTCCACATTTTCCAACACAGCATGACTAATATTGTTTTATTCTACAAAGCCTCAGATCTTCCAATAATTTTAGCTAAAAAAAATTTGCAAGAGGAAGTTGTGAGTTGTGGCTTTAAATGGGGTCAATTGGTGCCACATTGACTTTGACTGTCTTGTTTCCTAGGACTTGCGCTAAAACTGAGAATGATGACTATGAAATAAATACCAATACCTTTATTGCCATGAACTTCATTTCTGATTACCATTTTCATCTGCTGAAATTCTTGTAACTTTATATCATCTTCTGTTAGCAGATACCGCTTCCCTACCACAAGAAAAAAAGAGGAAGGTTGAGTTTTATGTCACACCATCTGTTTTAATACTACTGAACTTTGCAGTTATGAATTACTGCTGTTATTTATTGTGTGATACCAGACCACTGGCAGCATGACACTAAAAAAAAAAAAAAAGACTGCAAACGTTGCAGTTGCTCATGTCACTGACAAAAGAACCCCCGCATCATGTCACAACTTTCCAGAGTTAATGTGTACAAGGATGAAGAAGTATATTTTTATTTGATGTGCAAAGGAAAAACTAGAGACACCATTTCTCTCCACCTAGCCAAGGTACAAGATGACTCTGCACAAGAATAAGATCTTTCCCCCCTTTCATGCTTTTATAATGATTTTTCTTGTACTGTCTTTGTTCACCACAATTGATTAGTGGCATAGCTTCTTTTCCTCACACGTGCTGACCCCGCTATTATAGAATGCACTGTTCTTGAAGTTCCAAATGCAGTAGGAAGACAAAAGGGAAAAAAAAAAAAAAAAGCTTATTATTTGGATTGTAGTAACACTCAGGAGACCTAGTGAAGATCTGGTGCAGTACAGACTATCAGAGATAAGACAAGTCATTGAGTCTAGAATCTCAACATTAACTTTGAGTGTCAACCTCAACTGTACTGTGTTGTATGCTCGTTTAATGAAAGCGTTATGCAAATGCTGTTGGTGAAGTTTTTGCTGCCACAAACCCAGCTCTCCAGTAGATTTTTATTTGCAACCAGTAATTTTGTAACAGAGAGTCGCTGTAACAGTTTACGTTGCCATGGTCTGATCTTTTAAGTTTTTGGCTTCTTAAAGAATGATTCTAATCATGAAGGGACAAGAGCAAGTATTGACCCAAGTTAGGTTATTTATTCTCCTTCTGCATTTCCCTAGCAAAATGTAACAGGCCATGCAAATAAAAACACTTGTTTTCTATGCGAGCGAAGCATGCTAATGACACACTTCATAAAATCAGAAGAAAAAAATTCCATTAAATGGCACCTTTAGCCATTAAATTTAATGGAAACAGTTCTAATGGGTAAACAAATACACTTTACCCAGCATGAAATTGGCCTGGATTACCCTGCCATTTACTTCGCACGGACCTTCTCAGCTCGTCTAACACCAAAAGACCATCCTTGTCCTGGGCCTCTCCAGAGCTGATGCAGGAACCATGCTGGTGCCTGGGGCGGGACAGGCACATCACACCTCATAGACAGTCAGTGGTCACAGGTGGTGTCAGCAGAGAGCTTGCTTGGGGCTGCAGAATTTTACCCTTCTTGAATTCAATTTGCTGAATTCGACTGCTTCCTTAAATTCATACCTTACAGTGTTATAGAAACAAACCACTGCAAAATCAAATTAAGAGGGCCTCCGAGGAAAAAGGAGGGAGATTAATACGATGGCTGGTGCACGCAGGCAGTGCAGGCCGTGGCAGAGAACTTAACCAACCAACTTGCTTTACCTCAGCTGTGCCGCAACCTTCTAAAAGGAAGGCCAGTGAAGAGTGGCGGGCAGACCACGACGCAGGATGTCTCTGAGGGGTCTAACAGAGCTGTAAACTGAGCGAAACCTCCACTGACACTGGCGCAGCGGGCCGGGAGCCCAGGCGAGGCCTACGCCGGGGACCCTTCTGCCATACACCTCCTTTCCCCCAGGTGTCCCCGTTTTGTTCTCTGGGCGAGGGAGCACCTTCGAAGGGCCTCTGAAGCCCGGGCGCGGTGGTGGTGACAACCACCAGGCGCAGCGCAGGGCCTGGATAACGTTTTTTTGTCCTCCCTGAATATATATTTATGAAACCGCATGGGGTTGGGTTTTGGCGGGGTTTTTTTCAGTGCTTCGTATCCAGCCAGCAGCAAGCACGGGATAAACTGAGTAACGCTGCCGCACCAGCTCTGCCCACCCACCGCGGCTCAAGGTGGCCCGCTCCAGAACCCAGCGGGAGCCCCTCGGCCCTCCCCGCTACCGTGACCCCGCGCCGAGCCCGCCGTCCCCGCAGGAACTACAACTCCCGTCAGGCACAAGGCCGGCGGCGGCCG